ATTTTTTAACTTGTGCATTTCCTGACTTTTATTTTAATCATGCAACTTTTAGTATCACATGAATGTAGTTTTTTCATGTAATAGAATTCACAATAGAAGTTTAAAAGTTTTAGTAGTAAAATGTTTCGTTTTATTATTTTTCTTTTTTTTTTAAACAGACTGAGTTAGGTCATAGAGATAAGTGTGGCACAAAGAAGGGAAGATGAAAATGCATAGTGCAGTCTAATGCCCAGAGTAGAAAATCTAGGGGGGAAAAAAGAGATTTTCTTCTAATCTTCAAATTATAACAATTTTAGGTGATTTTGTTACAATATGTTCAAAACGTTCTGTTGATGTCCTTTTAAATGGCAGAATATTTACACTACAATATGCAGTTATGAAATCCAAGGTTTCTTCACACCACCTCTTTTACATCTTCATTTTCTTTTTGCCCTTATATTGAGGAATAATTTTACATGAGAGAATTATGCTCTGGTAATGCCTTATTGAAACCAATCTCTCTGAAGATCATCCCAACAGCAGCTCCTTTTCCTGCCTGAGCCCACTAATCAAACGTATATTGTGATGTGTCATAGGAAATGGGATTAATTAAGCTAAAAATATTAGCAGATGCCAGTGAGAGTGCTTGTGATTTTTTTTCAAATTTTTACTACTTTCTAAGCCAACCAATTTTTTTTTCCCAAATGTAGTGCATGCCATTTTTGAAGTTTCAAAGTTAATGACTTTTGAGTTATCTGCATGGAGGGAAAGCTGGTCAGAATGAATATGTGGGGAAAGTGTCATATGGATTGAGGGTGTGGTGGTTTTGAAGACGTTCATAATTCAAGGAGGCGGATTGCAGTTTGTTTTAAAATTAATCAAGCAGATATGTTCACCTTTTGAAATGAGACTGTACAATTCTGAATGCGTCAAAATTGGGTAATAGTGAAAAAATCACACTCTTAACTATAGCTGAAGCTACCAGGCTGAAATAAATATTCCCTTTTTTACATGAAAAGGGAGGCATGGATAAATTGTGAGAGTCATTGTAGACGTAGTAACTGAATGTTATGGTGAATGATCCACCAGGGGAGAAACAGTAGGAACAGAAAAGGAGAGGACAAAGCCCTAGGGAACATCAACTAAAGGAGATAGAGCCTTCAGAAGAGATGTTGAAAGAGCTGGCAGAGGTAAAACAAGAACCTATAGAGCAGGCTATTCTATAAGCCTTAGAAGAAAAGGTTTGGTTGGAGAAAGAGATTAACAGCATTGAAGGATGCAAAAAAGTTAATGTCCTATTACTTAAACAAAGCCTTAGACTTGTGTACACTATACATTTTTTATTGATTTAACTAAAATTGGTTTAGCAACTGATTTAGTTAAATCAGTTCAAACCCCATGTGTGGACTTTATTTTGGTTTGAGTGCCTTATATCAATTTAGCTTAGGTTTGTAAGGAATCTCTAATATACTCTTAAACTGAACAGTGTGTCCTCACAACAAGTGCCAGTTTAACTTAATCAGTTTCTAAACCAATTTTGGTTAAATTTACATTTTTAGAGCAGTAATTTTTTGATAAAGTTAAAGGCTAGAAATCAAAAACATCTTGCAAGAAAAGAACTCACAGGTGCAGTGCTTGCTGAAGGAATTCAGAGGTATAGGAGGAGAGAGTGGCAAGGCTGAGAACGTATGGATTGGTACTAGAGGATTTTTAGGATAAAGGGACACTAGAATATGTTTGAATTCAGAGGGAGTAGTGCCTTACGTGGGAATGATATTGGGAGCAAAAGGAGAGACAGGAGTAGGAGAATAAGCTGATAAGCAGATCCAGATTTCTGTGTGTGGAGTTGAATATTAACTTATTGACCAAAGAAGTGTATACAGGTTGAGGCTCGAGAAACAATATATCTTGGTTTCGTCTAAAATAAATAGTATTGTTACATTTGCTCTTAATTATATTCATTCATACAGCTAAGCTAGAATATCATCAGCACTTGGCTTTCTTTTAAACATTGTAACTGGGGATTACACTTAGTGGCGTGCCAAAAAAAAAAAAACCCAGTCTAAAAACCCCAAGTTAATGAATGATACAAACTTGTTGCAGTCAGCCACGATGTGCAGTCATTGGTACATGTAAGTTCATTTGTTAACACTGATGCAGGCTTCGGTATTCTTGACTTCCTGAAGAAGAAAACAATATATGAATAGCCCAAGGAAGCCTGACTTATTACAGGGCTAACTTCATCCAATCATGAGCCCAGAATATTTCTCATGTATATAATAATATTAATTGATAAACTGTAATGGGTTGTCTCTAATATACTGATCCTGAGATTATTGCAATTTTTTTTAAATTATTAACTCCGAATATAACATTATCATCTTGCCTTTGGAAGATCAGCTTGATAAAAGCAGAGCAATATAAAGCACATTGGAGACGTTATCAGGCATCTTTTCAGTATTTTATTTCTTTCCAGTGTGTGTTTGTGTTTTTTAAACAACACTTTTCTGGCATTTCCACGTGTATGTTCTTTTAAATTGTGTTCAAGATATTATGCTCTAAAATAATGGATATTCATGATGTGGAAAATGCAATACTCGACTCAGAGCTTGTCTACACTATCGCCTGGGGTCGATCTAAGATACACAACGTCAGCTAGGTACTTAGATCTATTTAGTGCGGTGTCGTCACTGCGGTAAGTCGACAGCTGATGCTCTTCTGTCAACTCCACTTACGCTTCTCGTTCTGGTGGAGTACCGGAGCTGACGGGAGAGCGCTCAGCGGTTGATTTATCGCATCTATACTATATGTGATAAGTCGACCCCCGCTGGATCGATCACTTCCTGCCCATCCAGCGGGTAGTGTAGACAAGCCCTCAGTAACATAAACATCAAGATAAAAGGGAAGACGAAACTGTGAGGAGCAGACCTGCATTAAACAGACATAGGCAGTCATTATACACTCTGTAGGAAAACATTATTATGAATGTTTGAAAGATTGAAAAGGATTAAAATCAGAGGGAATAATGAATTTTCAAATACATAATTATATGGGGAATCGTAAGCAGATTCATATTTATTCAATGGAAAATGTTACTATACCTCTACCCCCATATAACGCTGTTCTCAGGAGCCAAAAAATCTTACCGTGTTATAGGTGAAACAGCGTTATATCGAACTTGCTTTGATCCGCCGGAGTGCGCAACTCCGCCCTCCCCGGAGCACTGCTTTACCGCGTTATATCAGAATTCGTGTTATATCGGGGTAGAGGTGTATTATATCTTTTTAAATAGAAAGTAAGGTTGTCAATTAACTCATGTGATTAACTAAAAAAAAAAAGTGATTAATCACACTTATAACAATAGAATACCAATTGAAATTTATTAAATATTTTTGGATTTTTTCTACATTCTCAATATTGATTTAGATTACAACACAGAATACAAAGTGCACAGTGCTCGCTTTATATTTATTACAAATATATGCACTTTAAAAACTAAACAAAAAAACAGTATTTTTCAGTTCACCTCATACAAGTACTGAAGTGCAATCTCTTTATTGTGACGGTGTAACTTACAAATGCCGAACTTTTTTGGTTACATAACTGCACTCAAAAACAAAACAGTGTAAAACTTTAGAGCCTACAAGTCCACTCAGTCCTACTTCTTCTTCTGCCAATCGCTAAGGCAAACAAGTTTGTTTACAGTGATGGGAGACACTGCTGCCTGCTTCTTATTTACAATGTCACCTGAAAGTGAGAATAGGCATTTACATGGCAGTTTTGTAGCCAGCATTGCAAGGTATTTACATGCCAGATATGCTAAACATTCGTATGTCCCTCCATGCTTCAGCCACCATTCCAGAGGACATGCTGCTGATGCTCGTTAAAAATATGATGCATCAAGTAAATTTGTGACTGTACTCCTTGGGGGGAGAATTGTATGTCTCCTGCTCTGTTTTATAGGCATTCTGTATATATTTCATGTTATAGCAGTGTTGGAGGATGACCCAGCACATGTTCGCTTTAAGAACACTTTCACAGCAGCTTTGACAAAACGCAAAGGAAGTACCGATGTGAGATTTCTAAAAATAGTTAAAGCACTCGACACAAGGTTTAAGAATCTGAAGTGCCATCCAAAATCTGAGAGGGGCGAGATGTGGAGCATGCTTTTAGAAGTCTTAAGAGAGCAACACTCTGATGCAGAAACTACACAACCCAAACCACCAAAAAAGAAAATCAACCTTCTGCTGGTGGCATCTGACTCAGATAATGAAAATGCGTCAGTCCGCACTTCTTTGGATCGTTATCAAGCAGAACCCATCATCAGCATGGAAGCATGTTCTCTGGAATGGTGGTTGAAGTATGAAGGGACATATGAATCTTTAGCGCATCTAGCACATAAATATCTTGCAACAACAGCTACAACTGTGCCATGCGAACACCTGTTCTTGCTTTCAGGTGACATAAAAAAGAAGCAGGCAGGCGGCATTGTCTCCTGCAAATTGTAACCAAACTTGTTTGTCTGAGTGATTGACGAAGTCGGACTGAGTGGACTTGTAGGCTCTACAGTTTTGCATTTTTATTTTTTAATGCAGTTTTTTTGTACATAATTCTACATTTGTAAGTTCAACTTTCATGGTAAAGAGATTGTACTACAGTACTTGTATGATTTGAATTAAAAAAAAACATTTTTTTTACAGTGCACATTTCTAATAAAGTGAGCACTCTACAATTTGTATTGTGTTGTAATTGAAATTAATATTTGAAAATGTAGTAAACATCCAAAAATATTTAAAATAAATGGTATTCTATTGTTAACAGTGCGATTAATCGCAAATAATGTTTTTAATCGCACAATTAATTGCAATTAATTTTTTAATTGCTTGATAGCCCTAATAGAAAGTCTGTTTCTATATCTAAAGTAGCTAGTTTGTGCAGCGTTAGTTTTGGTTTTGGTAAAATACAGAACCTCACACTTTGAACTTAGATTATGTATAAAATGTTTCCCTCCTCTCTTACAGAAAATGCTGGAACAGGAGAGATGAGTACTCCTTTCACTAAGGCCTAGAATTGCCTGTTGAACAACAGTCCTGATCAGGCAATATACGAATGGCCCAAGGAAGCCACCAAATAGATTTTCAGGTTTTACATGACCTGCGACAAAAATTTCCAGAGGTACCTGAAGTTGTTGTGTCCAGATGCATGTTACAGGTCAGTGTCCTTTTACTACTGTATATTTATGTGTTGCCATTTATTGTAGGTATTACAAGTAACTGCCACAAGCTTTCCCTCTAATCTGCCATGGTTGGATGGAACTGTTGATAGCAGATTTTTTTCTTTTTAAATATCTGTTTATATTTTTGGCTTCCTTCTGTTTGCTTTAAAACAAGGAAAGTCTCAAATCAGTTTCCAGCTTTTTCATAGTGTATTCTCTCATGTTTCTTAAAATTGAGGAATTTAAATTTCTTCATACGTTGGCATTCATATTTTGTACTGTTTACATTGGGAATCTAAAAGTTTCCATTATAAATACTTTTATTCTCAAGGACTTATAATGTGGCTGAAAATTCATTCTAGAGTGCAACTTAATGAACACTGCAGATTGAGAGAACTAGTTTGACCATTTTTAAGTTGCAAGAAGGCAAAATTTCAACCCTACCCTTATTTTTGTGAGGTCTTAAGCTACTCGTATAAGGAGCAGGCAAAAAAATTTATTTTTCCACCTTCCACTCCCCTCTCGTCATTTTGCTGAAGTAGGAAAATTACTCCTGGGGGAATCCTGCGCTACTGCACATGTGCATAATTAATGAGCCGTGCATATTTTTAATTTTTTGTGCAGAAAAAAGCTGCCTAAATGTTGCTACAGTTCCACCTTTTGCCCACCAGTGGGTGTTGTGGCGATAGAACAAAGCAGCAGCTCCCAGCTAGCTAGGGAAGAGAGAGAGCCTCCCTTTTTCACAGTGCCTATCAGGCCAGGTCAGGAGACAGGCTATGGGGAGACAGACAGCATGGGGTGCTGTGGGGGTCAGACGAGCTCATAAGGGCTAGTAAGGGAGGACAGACTAGGCAGGGACTGAATGGGAGTGGAGGCACAGGCCACAGGGTGGAAGGTGCAGGGCCACATGGTGATGCGGGAGGAGGTGCAGAGCTACATAGGGACGGGGGAGTGGCTGGATGGGGGCACAGACACATGGGGACTGGGGAGGGAGTACAGAGCCACATGGAGACAGGAGAGGAGGTACAGAGCCGGATGGGGGAGTGGGTGTCTGAGTGGGGGTGGAGTGACACATAGGGATAGGGGCAGATGTGCCTGACTGAATAGGAGAGTTTAGGGGTAAGTCAGGGTCTGCATGGGGGAAGCTCCCTAACAATAACTCCTCGTCCCTCCCCAAAAAACCTGTTACATAATTTTCCCACCTATATTCAACCACTCTCCAAGTTCACACCCAGGCTCCTTGCCAACAATTTACTTCCCTCTCCCTCAGCTGCTCTGTTATCCCTGACTAAACCTTTGCACTGCTTCTGAGGGGTGTGGGAAATACGGTTCTGTATTGTAGTTTAAATGAATTATTACTCAGAGTTCTGTATTAATATGCATAGTAAGGAATCTGTTTGTCAAAAAAACATTTCCTGAATCTTTTTTGTTGTTTATATTGTTACAGACATACTTGCTGACAGCTATTTTGAAATAAATGATCAAAATTAATTGAAACTTGTTTGATTATATTGTGTAATTTTGACAAATAAAATATGCAGACCTTTGCAGAATTTTAAGAAATTGTGCGCATAATTTTTAATTTTTTGTTGCAGAATTTTTAATTTTTTGGCACAGAATTCCCCCAGGAGTAGAAAATGGACCAACCCATGGAGTTGCCATATTTGCTCTCCAAATTGCATGGCACCATGCTTGTGCTTAAGACTGGCCCTGCAAAGTACTAATTTTTTTTATTTCAAATGCTATTTAGTTCTTCTAACATTAAAAATGGTATATTGGGGTGAGGTGATACATTGGCTTAGTCACGTGCATTATATCTTCACCTTCTGGAATCTGTTTGTGATAGGTCGTACCCTAGGCAGCCGCCTCCTCATCACAAAATATGGCAGTATTTGATATGGTTGATTTTTCTACTGAGGGAGAGGCCTGGAACCAGAAAATTAGGTCTGGCAGATAGATGGCAGAAGTGTGCAAGAAATAGCACCCCAGTCCCCTGCACTGCTGTTGTTCATCACCTTGCAGTTTGTTTAAAATTTATTTCCGTAGGGTAGGTCATGTGTTTGTAATATGGACAATTGCATTTCTCTAAAGATTTAAATGACGGAGTTATTTAGTTTTAAATACATAATGTAAAGTAATTAATGTTATGAGTTCCATAAATGGGGTTCTCCAGTGGGGAGTGCTAGGGTCCTCCAGTGGCTTGGGCTGCGGTGGACTCCATTTCCTGGGAAGTTGTGATTCCTTCCAAGTACAGAGAGGCAGAAAATACTCAGCAGCTGTTACTGCAGCAACAAGAGCGCTTTGGATCTGCTCTGGTAGCATAGTGACTCGGGCAGGGCTAGAAGCTCAAAATTCCCTAATGGTGGCAGCCCCAGATCTGGTGGCTGGTGGAAGGCATCTGGCTGAGCTGACTCCATAGATACACACACAGATGGAATTCTACCAGGTCAGTGACTTTCTTTGTAGTTTTTAATATGCTCTAATTTGACTAAGATAAGTGAGGCTCCAACTATTTCAATATTAGCTTTTTAAAAAAAAAGACAACTTAGTCTCACTTAAGCCAGGAAGTTCTGAATTAAGACTAATAGAGAAGTCTTAAGGTAGCACTTTCAAGTCCATATATGGTACTGGTGAGTGAATTTTATCTCTTATACACTTGGGTACAGTGGAGTTTTGAATTGTCTAAATATTATGACTATTGTATAAGTCGGATTTTTATGTTTATTTTACGTTTATTTTAACATACTTTTTCTCAAGTGGGCTGAGCTTTGGAAGATAGTTTCCCTATTTTTTTTTCCATAATAGACCTCTGACTTGGCCCTTTCCTTATTGCTCCTGACACTTCCTGAGTGTGTTAATCTGCTCTTGTAAAGAGGACCTTCTTCTTCGAGAAGGCTCTGCATATTCCCACTTATGGATATTATACTGCCTAGTGGTGCTGAATGGTAGAAACTTCTCCAAGCGCTGTCCATTAGAGCACTCTCATGCCCCCTTTCTACTCATCTCCAAAAGTTCTGAAGGCATAGCTATGTAAGGAGTGCAGCGCCCTCTACCACCTCAGTTCGTTCCAAATATTTGCCATTGATGGAAATGAACCTCTCCAGTCCTTTCAGCTGTGAAGTTCTTTCCTTAATTTTTAGTGTTAATTGTTAGTTTTCTTTCGTATTATAGAGATAAGTATAGGTTGTTAGGTAGTTAGCTCGCTCAGTTCCAAGTTATGGCAGAACTGAAGAAGTGGGATTCAAGAGACTTCGTACCCTGCTATCTTCCTGGCGTTGGATGACCACTCTCCTCCTTGGTGTTCTGTCTACCAGACTTCAACAGCCGGAGCTTTCAAGAAGAGGTATAATAGTTTGCAGGTCCTTCTCCTTAAGGAGGCCCTTGAGGCTATATCCTCCGCATCTGGGCGGTCAGTTTCTGTCACTTCTTCCAGGAAGTCAAAGCAGCTAAGGGTTCTAGGAAATTGGAACCTTCATTGGGTCCAGCTATAGTTCCCACTGCTCTAGCAGTTAGGCTTTTGAAGTTGGAACCAAGGGACACTCTATTGGCACCAGCTGTCTTAGTTCCAGAGAAGGTGACAACTGTTAGTGCCAAATCCTGCATGTCAGATTTATCAGATCCATCCAATTCTGACCGAGCTTCTAGGGTTCTGAAGTCAAAGGTTCTTTCTAGTCTCAGCTTCAGGAGCCAAGAAGATAGATTTGAGTATTTGGATCCTGTGCCGTCCAAATGTTCGGCTCCGGCCTCAACCCTTGCTCAAGTTTTAGGTCTATCTTAGGTTCCAAAGAAGACTTCACTTTGGTAGCTGATGTGCACTGTTTGGCTTCTGAGCATTCCTCATATCTGAGTGAGAAGCAAAGAGACTTGAGAAAGAGACAAGCTTCACCAATTCCAAGGTTGGCATCATCTTCACCTGTAAAGGATCAGTCTGAAGAAGAGAATGAGAAGATATCAGCTCCTCTTCTTGAATAGGAGCATACTATAGACTATGATCATGGTTTATCAGCAGATGAGCATGTGGGCCTCGCTTTTCCCCTTCTGAGAATGCTCTGCAGTTTCACGGTTTAGTGGATCGCATGATATCCACTTTGAATCTGTCTTCTGTGCCTGTGAAGGAGGCATCTAATCCGCTGATTAATATTCTTGGGGTACCTCTAAGAGTATGATGTCCTTACTAATCTTTGATGCTCCAGCCCGCTAAGACTGTTTGGTCCACTCCTGCCAACCTGTATCCAAGAAGGCAGACTAATTGCATCAGATACCCTCAGAGAGGTTTTCACTTATAGTGTCTGTTGCAAGTAGCAGGTCCAGGTATGGATAGCCACATTTCATCCCAGTGATAGAAAGGGGAAGGAGATTGATTTCCTAGCGAGAAAGGTGTTCTTCTTCATGTCTTGGTATTAGGGTGACAAATTCCCAAGCTGTTATGGCCTACTATCTATTCCATCTGTGGGAAAAGTTGGCATTTGGGGGGCGTGATTTGCCAGATGACAAAAGCAGATGGGAAAATGTGATCCTGAAGAAGGGTCAAAATGTGGCAAAGATCATTCTCAGGATTTCCTTTGATGCCTCAGACTCTTCCGTTAACTGCAGAAGCCAATGCTCTACTCTGAGGAGACATGCATAGCTTCATTCCTTCTCTTTGGTTCTGGATACTAGAATTCAAGTGGAAGATCTCCTTCCCTTCAAAGGGGAGATCTTTTCAGTGAAAAGAAAGATGAATTGCAGGAGAAGTTGGAGACAAGATCGAAGGCCCATTCTTTGGACTTGGTTTCTTCTACTAGCAGGAGATCTGTTCCTTTCTGTTATCAGAGACCGTATTATCCACAGTTGTTTTTGGTTTATTTCTCATAAAATTAAAGACATCAACAGTTCTCAGCAGCCTTCATCATTCCAGAGCAAGCATAAAAAGAAGTCTTTTAAATCAAGGCCTAAATAGATTTGATATGAGGGTTGAGAGTCAAGAACCAATCAGCAAGGATCCTTCCCTTTCTCT